GGGACTCATGGGAGAGGAACCTGCGGGAGGGCCAGTGGGCAGAGGGAAAGGGGGAGAGGAGATGTGGAGAGGCGGATGGCGGGCGGATGGTCACCTGGAGGGACTGACAGGTCGGGGGTGTCGGTGGGTAAAAGTAGGGGAGAAGAGCTAATGGCTGAGAGATCAGGAAAGGGGTCACATGGTTGGAGTAGGAGCCGTGCAGCGGGGTGAACGGGAAGGGGGAAGTTGGGAAGAAGCATCTTTGCTTCAACACGTGGGTCAGGAAGTGCTGGGATGGGGTGGCTGGATGGGCAGAGGCGGGGTGAGGAGAGAGGTGGCTGGGCGTCCAGCAGCTGGGGAAGGGTGGGTGTCTGGAGGAAGCTGGAGGATTGAGGGGGGCGCCTGGGCGGAGTCCTCCTGGGGCAGGATGGGGTGACCGAGGTAGGAACAGAGGAGCAGGAAGGGCAGACGGAACAAGAGTGATACTAAGTGGAGACCAAGGGAAGGCACAGCCCTGGCTGGTTGTGTTTCGTGTGTCAACTCTTCTCAACAGCACTCAGAGGTGTGTCCATCCTCATCTGTAAAAGGAAGAGATTCGAGCACAAAGGTAGTGGTCATTTCAGGTCTCACGGCTACTCAGAGGTGTGGTCAGGGCTCAAACATGCTCTGAATCAGAGCCACCATGAGCCCTTGGGTCTAGTGTGACGGACAAGGAGGTGGCGGTGGGAGGGATGATGACTGGTGTGTAAATAACTGGAGGAGGGAGGAAGGACAGATTGAGAAAGATCACAGGGTGGACAGATGAACAGGCCTGAGGCAGATGTGCTGGGTGCAGATGCATGACCCGGTAGGTTGACACGAGGTGTTCAGCAATGAGACGGGGAAGCAGGGAGGTCCGGTGGGAGGCTGGGAGGGGCGGACACGGGCAAATGCAGACATGGATTCCTAAGAATGGGTGAGTGTGTGGGGGACAGCAGGGGCAAGGGTGAATGAACCTGCGGATGACGGACGGACGGACAGGAAGGGCTGGGAGTTCCTCAGCAACTGGCATTAGAGAGATGATCAGCAGGTTGATGCAGGAGCTGGTGGGGACGGGCTAGGAGGAAGCAGCACCAACGCTGTGTGCAGACGGAGGGATGCGGGTCTAGATGGCTGGAGGGAGGAGGAGGGTGCGCAGATGCCGGTCACGCATGACTTACCGACGGGTATGTTCTGAGGAATGCACCGCCAGGGGGTTTCACCATTTTGTTGATGTCATGGGGTGCACTTATGCAAACTAAGACAGGACATCACTTGGTGACACAATCTTAATGGAACTACTGTCAGATATAGTGTCCTTTGTTGACTGAAGTGTCACATGGCTGTGTGAGGATGTGTGGGTGGACGGATGGGTGAGTGCATGGAGGGCGGGTGGGTGGAAGGTGGGTAGAGGGTGGGTAGTGGGGTGGGTGGGTGGATGAGTGGTAGGTAGGGTGTAGGTGGATGGTTGGGTGGACAGTGGGGTGGATGCTGGCGTTGATGTTCAGAGCAGCAGCAGCAGGTAAGCATGCCACCCAGTGAGTACTAACCCAGCGCAGCCCTCCCTGGTCAACGACTCCTCCCACTGCCCTCTTGCCGGAAGCCTCCCAGCTGCCACTCCCTGGCTTTATCTGTCGCCTGCTCCTGCCCCCCGTCCCTGTCCAAGTTTGGGCTGCATGCCCTCCTGTGGATCTCCGTGCCAGGACCCCCACTGTCCTCTGGGCCTTTCTTTCCCCTGTCTTGGCAGTGGCTGGGATGCCACAGCACTGGCCACCTCGTCTTCGGTCTTCCCCACAACGGACCCCAACCCCTTCCCCACGGGGCTCCAGGTGCCTCTCAGGATTGTCTTCTGCAGCCCACGGAGCAGGGGGCCTGGCTGACCGAGTGCTCCACCATGCAGCCTTAGTTCATACTCGGTTCTCCACATGCAATGCCCCACCCGCCCATCCTTCAAGGCCAAGAAAAGGGCTGCCTCCTCCCAGAGGTCTGCTGCCCCGGGCCCCACCTGGCCCCAAGCTGGGAGCAAAGTCACCCTCTTCTGTCTGAGGTGTCGGGACACCACTTCCATCTCATGTGTCCATCCACCCATCCAACCAACATTATCTGGCCCCTGTGTTGGTCAGCCCTGCCCGGGACACGGATGGCTCCCAGATGAAGGGACTCATCTGGGTAGAGGGTATGATAGAGCAGGGTCCTGGAGGCTCTGCAGGAGACACAGACCCAGGCTCCCAGGCCGAGGTGTGCACGTCACTGCTCTCCGGGAATGAGGGGGGGGCAGGGAGTGTCTGACAGGCCAGGAAGGGGGTCACAATGGTGCTGAATGCTGAGAGAAGTTTGGACACTCTCCAGCTAACAGGGGGTGGCCATGTCTTTATGAGGCTGCACATGGAGGCTGCATGAATGGAGAATTGATCTTTTCTATCTCGTCCCTCCCCAGACACCAGGCTGAGCCAAATAAGGCGCCATTCTCTGTGCTGCATCCCAGCCTGCAGGGGGCCGAGCTGCCGATGCTGTGGGAGGGCGGAGGTGGCTTGAGGGCTGGGTGGACAGACAGGCAGGCCAGGACACAGCTCCTGCCACACTCGCTGCCTGCCAGCCCCCACCCCTGCTCAAGTGCGCTGGCCTAGACAGGGTCCTTCCTGTTTGTTCTGTGAGCAGGTGAGGGAACAGAGCTCAGTGGAGAGATGGCTCGCTGATCCCCCAAGCTGGTCTTAGCCAAGGCCTCCTGACCCCACGGCCATTCCCTGCCCTGGAAAATGCCCCCGGTGGTCAGCCTGATGTGCAGCAGCAGCTGCTCGGGAGACCTGCCACTGGATGGACAGGTGGACCATCCCCAGCCCTTGGGCACAGAGCCGGACAGCTCTGTCCCGCCCCACCCCAGGAGGCAGCTGCTGTCATGCACCCCCGGGGAGCCCCAGAGCCTTTCCACCTTCACTGGGTCCACCTGGAGGGCAGCCCCGGAGAATGGGCGGTCCTCTCTGCCTCTTCAAACTAGTGAGCTCGTGTCATCCCGCCGCAGCACGGACCCAGCACAGACAGGCCTGACCTACCTACAACCTGCACCAGATGGACCTGCCCCATGCCAGCCAGCCGGCCACAGCCTGAGCCAAAGGGGAGGAGGGGGCAGCTTCCGGACAGGAGCCCGAGTAGCCAGGCCTGTATCCCCAGGCTGTTGGCAGCGCACAGCCAGAGCCTCGGCTGCCCCAGCACGCCTGTCCTCTGCCAGGCACCGGCCTGCAGGCTGAGCTGGGCTGGTCTGACGGCCACACCAGCCCCCAAGGGCCCTTCCCTTGCTGCCTCCTCAGCACATGTGCACACACACTCTTACACACACAGATACTAACACTCGCTTGCACAAACACATGCATGCACTTGCACATATGCACATACATCTATATACTCACAGGCAGTTACACTAACACCCCAAACTCACAGGCACATACATACACATTTGCACATCTACCCATGCACATATGCACGCATACACATGCATACAATATATGCATGTGCATACTTACATACATGCAGTTACACTCACCCCCCCCCCCCCCCGCCACACACATGTCCACGCTCACACTCATATAAACTCACTCGTGCTGGCCCGGTAGTGCACTCCTATCATCCCAGTGACTCGGGAGGCTGAGGCAGGAGGACTGCAAGTTCAAGGCCAGCCTGGGCAATTTAATGAGGCCCTGTCTCAAGATAAAAATTAAAAAAATAAAAAGGGCTGGGGGAGCAGCTCAGTGGTAGAGCACCCCTGGGTTTAATCTCCAGTACCAAAAAAAAAAAATCCCCCCAAAAAAACCCTCACACTCACACAACACACACACACACACGTTGCACACACACTTGGCATGCACACTCACGTGCACAGGTCCCACGTGGTGGTGCCCGGGGCTAGGTCCACAGGCATGGCGATGGAGTGCACATGACGGGAGATGGTGGTGCTGTGGATGAGTCAGGAGGAGGTGGCCAGGAATGTGGTACGCACAGGGTGGGGCTCTTGGCTCAAAGACGATTAGAGGCAGAGCTGTCCGGGCGTCCCTGCTCCCAGGTCGGCCTTGCCCTAGCTCTTCTCTCCCCACAGCCCTGCTGCTCCCGGGCCTCCTGCCACCCCACCTGGCTGGGCAGCTGTAATCAGTGGAATGCATCTGGCTATGGCCATTCAAGTCTGGGCTCGGGAAAGTGATGATCTGGCCCAATGCGAGCCAGGTCCTTCTTCCTGGAGTGGCAGGGTGTGGGGACGCCTGAGTCCCCATCTCCCTGCACAGCCCAGGGCTACTCAGTCCCTACAAGGGGTAGAGGGGTCACCCCACCCAAAGTGCACTGGTGACAGTCCCCTACAGGCGCAGTCCTTCCTCTCCCTCTGCCCTCGGGGGTGGGTCCCGTGGCCTGACAGTCTTCTCTGCTCCCAACCAGTTCCTCTCAGAGCCGAGGGGCTCTGGAACTCATGCCCACTCTGGGCACAGGGTGATGGGGTCTATGGGACATGCTTTCCCGTTCTTTCCCTGAGCTGCCCTAGCCACCAGGCATTGACTTCCAACCAAGTACACAGTGGGGTGTGCACAGTGCCTGGCCTCAGGTTCCCTGATGACAGAAGGCATGCAAGGGTCCCTGAGGTCACCCCTCCTCTCTCAAAAGGTGCAGGGTTGCAAACCCTCTTCAGCTCCATGAGGGCTCCATCCCTTTTGACCTTGGGATGGCTGCTGGCCAGGGTGAATTCCCTGGGTCCCCACGCCCCATGGCTGGGCTCAGTTGGCTGTGCAGAGAAGGGTCCCGGGAATCCAAGTCCCTGTCGGAAGCTCTCTCAGCTCAGGAAAGGAAGGGATAGCCCCTTGCTGCCCAGGGATGCCTGGCCAAGGCCCCATCCCAGGACCCCAGGTCCCTCTGGGCCCCAGCTGCATCTGCTTGACCACAGCAGAGGGAGGGCCAGAGCAGTGCAGTCAGGTCCTGTCCAGCCAGCACCCACCCCTCCTTTCCGCCCTGCCACCGCGGGGGCTCACTTTGAGGGAGTAGGCCAAGGCGATGAAGCCCAGGCAGCAGAAGTTGAGGTAGACGAAGTTGAAGATGGACCACAGGTAGTAGTCGTTCACCTCGGTGGTGTCCGGGTAGACCTCGATGACGGTCGTGGGGTTCGTCATGGTCTTCTTCTCGGCCAGGTGCTTGCAGGCCTGGGGGCCCCCAGCCACCCGCACACTGTCTGTCTTGCTGCTCTTGGACTCCATGGGGAACAGAGTGGGTGCCATGGGGGGTGAGGCTGAGGGCTCAGTGGCAGGGGCCGCTGGAGCCTGCAAGGCAGGGGGCTTGGACACACAGGCAAAGCAGCCCTTGGGCGAACCTACGGGGGGCCTCGGAATCCAGAAGGCCCCGTCCAGGGGGACTCGGGCTTCCTGGGTGCCGTCCGTGGTGCTGGCCGGGGCTCCCAGCAGGGCTGGGCACTGGCCGGGGCCCTGGGCCTGCAGGGAGGAAGAGGGTAGGAATGAGCTGGGCCCTGCTGGTGGAGCAGCACCCACCCTGGAGCCCTGCAACATCTCCCCTGCAGCCCCATAAACAGCCCCAGCGGAGATGGAAATCCCCACCCAGGCAGCCAGCTGCTAGCCTGCCACCTGCCTCCCCCGCCCGCCCGCCCGGCCACTGCTAATGCCAAAGCCCTTCGCAGCAGCCTTGGCAGGCACATCCGGCTTTCCATCCTTGCCATCTGCACACACACATTCACCCACCGGCACACACAGACCCCCAGTGCACACCCAACAACACTCTGACATGCTGTTGCAATACACAGAGCACCGGCTTGGCAGTGGACCTACAATGACACTGCCCTAGTCACTAACTGGAGAAATGAGCAGAGCCCGGGAAGCACCTGCCTACAGACCCAGGCAGATAGTCTGCCACAAACCCAGCACCACCGGCCGGGCTCTCCAGTCCGGCACCCTCCCGCTGAGACACAACCAGGTAAACAACGGCCACAGTGACACGCACACACACACCGCGACACAGGCCCCGGCAGTCGCCGGAGGATAAGCACAGGTGCGGGGCTCCAAACTCGCGCGCATCGCCCCCAGCCCCCAGCTCCAGCCGAAAGCGGTGCTGGGGAACCCAGCGCGCCACACACAAGCACAATGACACTCGACCAAATGAACACTTCAAAGAGGCACCCAGGCGCTGGCGCCGTGCCCCCCGGCTCACCGAGCGCGTAGGGGTCTGAGCCAGGCTCCGCGACCCCCGCCCGACCCCGCTTTGCCGCAGGCTCCCGGACGGCGCGTCCTCACCTACTGGCGACTCCGCGGCGGGCGGGCCGGACCCCTGCGCCTCAGTGCGCGCGTCCTTCTGCCCTCCCCGGCCGCTGTCTGTCCGCGGATCCGCGTCCCAACCGCCCAACCTTGGGGGCGGGGATCGCGCGGGACTCGGCGGCGCCTCTGCCTCCCCCGCTGCCCGCGCCGCTCCGCAGCGCCAGGCCGGCCCGGCCGGCTGCAGCCAGAGCCTGACTCACGGCGGCGGCGGCGCAGACACCTCCGCCTCCTCCGCCGGGGAGGGTGGGGGCCGCGGGCTGGCCGGAAGCCTCGACCCCTCCGGACAGAGCTGGGACCCTGCTACCCTGTGCCGCTCCACTTCCAGGTCCCTGGACACCGAGGCTGCCTCCCCCGGCGCATTCCGCCCCCTCGCACGGAGCCCCAGCCCCCGTGGGAGCCGTCTCCGGAGCCCAGCGCACCTGCCTGACAAGAGGGCCCCTACTCCCGCTCTTCCCTCGCGTTCCAGCTGTCCAGGACCTGTTGCCTTCTTTCTCAGAGACCCTTACGGGGGGCTTTGCCTCTTCTGGGCCTGTTGAGTCCGCCCGCCACCTCCGCTGGCCCCTTGGCAGAGTACTTGAGCCCTTCCCATGAGGTCCCTGACCCGGTGGCTTCGGAGCCTTACCAAGCTCCCACCCACGGGTCCATGAGACCCTCTGACTCTCTTCCCCTCACTTTGCCCCAGGACCATCCCTAGCCCAGCCCCTCTGTGCAAACCCGGTACCTGCTCACTGTGCCTCTGGAGTCTCTGGCCCCCAAACTCCCCAGTCGCAGTCCCTGAATAGGCTGCACCTCACCAAACCCCCACCAGGTCACCCATCTTTGCATGATCCTGTCTCTACAGGTCCCCAGCCCTTAAGGCCATTTCCCATCCCTCTGTCCTGAGCACATCAAGTTCAGGCCCTTCACCACCATCAGCACCCCTGCTGCCCCTCCAGGCCAGTTCCTCTGGAGGGCCTGCCCCTTTTCCCAAGTTTGACGTCCTCACTAATCCAGCTCACTCACAACGCTGGTCTTGGACCCTGTGGTCAGCCTGTCCCTGCACAAAGGTCCTTCACCCACCTTTCCTCTGCCCACAAGGCCATGTGTTCTGCTTCCAGGCCCTGGCCCCTCGCCCCTCTCTGAGGCTGGACACTTGTGTTCCTGGAGCTGTGTCCATGCCCTGGCCTGTGGCCTCCCTGTGAACCCATCCTACCTGGGCCCTTGTCCCTTGAGGTGCACTGACCCCCACAACATGTCCACCAACCAGTGCTTGTCCTCCACCTCGACTGTCCGCAGAGTTCCCCCACCTTCTTGTTCTCTTGGACACTCGTTCCCAACTGATCTCCCGACTCCTGAAAGGTCCTGATAAGCTTCCTTTTCCCTGGAGAGATCCCTGGTCATCCCACCCTGGGATGTGCAGATGCCCCCTCTGAGCTGGTCCTCTACAGCCGAGCCCCAGACCCTGCTCAGTGCCGCGGGTGGCCTGTTCTCCCTGCTCTTTCTGAGCCTGCACCCTGCTGAGTCCCCATCCTCCCCCCAGCAAAGCCCCTTCTCCTCTGACCCTCTCAATGTGCCTCCAGACTCCCTACCACCTTCCCTTCCTGAATGCTCCTGCTCTGACCTAACCCTAACCCTTCTTCTCTCACTACCCTCAGTGCTCTCCGAGCCCTGAGCTTTCTTCCAAACCCCAGTCCCCTAGCAAGCCCCGCCCCCTCAAGCCCCTCCCCTCCCCAGCCTAGGCCCCACCCCCACCCCCAGGCTGACCCCGGGCTCAGCCTCAGCCCTGGCATGTCAGGAACCCACAGCGCGAAGTAGATCTTAAATGATGTTGATAAAATCCCCTGTGAGTGGGAGGAATTCCCAGCACAAGGAGCCCTCTTGGACGTCCCGGCCACTCCTTTCATGGAGCCCAGCCTCAGTCCACAGGCCCTACAGGCCCTGTGGGCAAGTCTGGTTCACCTAACTCTACCACCTCCCCACTTTCCCACGGGCCAGGCACGCAGGGGCCCAGACCTGGCATCTAGACTGGGCCTGTGCCCTTCCCGGGCTGCATGTAGCTCTGTGCCATGCCACTTAGCTCCTTAGGTCAGAGCTGAGCCTGATGCTCTCCCTGCCACACAACATCTGTCTACTGCTACCCTGGGCCAGAGGCTTCAGGGTGGCCAGGAAGGAAGCAGCAGGAGGGTGCCTGGGCCCTCGGGTCAGACCTGCTGAAGGTCACAGAGTAGGGTGAGGCCAGAGTCAGGGCCCTCTCCCTGAACTGCGTCGGGCAGGGGGTCTCTCTGAGGCCTCGGGAGCCCCCACAGCCTCCATTCTGGGATGGTGAGTGAAGGGGTTGGCCCCGTAGGCTCCTGCCACAGTGTGCTCCAGGCCACGGGTGTGGGCCAGGAAATTTGGTGGTCCAGACTAGGGCCAGTGTCCAGCCACTGTGCTGGGCCCCCGTGGCCGGCAGTGAGGTGGATCCTGTTCTTGCCCACATCCTAGAGTCTGGATCGTCAGGGTGGGTCACACAGCTAAAAAGGCACGGAGGCTGGATCTGAACCCAGAGTCAGACTCCAGGGTCCCAAGAATCCAGAGGAGCTGGACAGAGCGCTCCCGGGGGCAACACTCAGGGCAGCTCCAACAGAATGCAGGCCCTGGCAGCGCAGGCAGGAGATGGCGCCTGGAAGGAGCAGCGCAGGCCTGCAGGGGAGGGAGGAGCTGCCTCCTTCCGGCCTCTCCATGCAGTGTTTGATGACACTGGTCTCCCCAGAAACCCTGCCAGGCCCTGCGGAGCTTTGCCCAGCTCCCTCTCATATTTCAGGAGCAGAGAACACCGGGCACATGTTTACCAGCTTCCTGGCAACTGGGGACAAACGTTCTCCAGAGAAGGTGGCTGTTGGGGCTCAGCTCTAGGGCATCGTCCCTGGGTCCCCTTGGACAGGCACTGTCCAGCAGGCTGAGAAAACCCAGGGAGGAAGATGTCACACTCACCCTGTATCCTGCACCTGCTAGGGTGGGGGTGGGGGCTTCAAGCAAGACTCCAGAGCCTCAGAGTCTCCCGGTCCCACCACCCAGAGCCACACACTCCTGCTGCGCCTTAGGCCCTGCTGCATCGGGCCATGTGCTCCCGACCTCTCCCCTCCAACCGACAAGGCCACCCCAGGTGCCCGCCTGCATACCAGTGTCTGCAGAAACTGTGGCCTGGGGAGGGCTCCCACCCGGATCCCTCCTGGGCAGTGACCCCAGGCAGGCCTGCCCCGGCCCAGGCTTGGCTTGCACAAGCCCAGGGCTGCTTCCAGGGGCTGGCAAGGAGGCCCAGAAGGGAGGCAGGGTGCCCACACCACAGAGCCATGCAGATACCTGGTCCTCCCTAGGACCAGGGAATGCCAAAAGGGTCAGAGGGTCCCCCAGCGCCCCCAACAGTGTTCTGTCTCTGGAAGCCTAGAGAGTACATGCTTGGACCACTTCACTGAGAACCCTGCTTCTGAGTAGGCGCTCACACCGGAAACGCCGCGCCGGCCCGCCCGCCCGCAGCCTCCGGCCAAGGCCACATCCGCCGGCCACTGTTCCAGGCCTCAGAACAAGCCAGCTCTTGCCAGCCACATCTTGGCCACAAGGCCAGCCAGCAAGCTACAGCCTCAGGGGTCCCCTAGGCAGTGTGACCTGGCTCCAAAAGCCAGGCCTGGGCTCCCCGGCTCACCCTCCCTCCCCTGCCCCCCCAGCCCTCAGTCTGCCAGGTGTCTCACCAGCCCCCACTCCTCCCCCAGGTCCTGACTGAGATCAGCCTCTCGGGAGCACAGATCACGCCGACACAGGAATAGGCCCAACAACTATATTTTCATGTCAACTGTGGCTCTCGGCTGACCAGGAGAAGGGCAGCAGAGGTCACCAAAGGAAGGCCAGCATGGCCCCAGACACCCTGGCCCTTGCCCCAGGTGGTGACAGAGTCCAGGTGCCCCACAGGTCCCCAAGGATGGCTTTGGTCTTTCTGTGCCTCCTCTTGTCTTCAGGCCTCTGTAGCCAGGACACTCAGGGGCGAGGGGCAGCAGAGCTGGCGTGACCCCAGGCTGGGCAGAGGGGCCTCCTGTGGGGCAGCTTTCTGGAGGAGGACCCTTGAGGACAGCCTGCCTCAGGGAGGGGACTCAGACTTGCAGGTGCTGCCAGGGTGGCCACGGGTGCCAGAGCTGGGGGAGGGGCTCCTAGGACACACACACCCGGCAGCCACCAAGCCCAGGTTGGGTGCTCCAGGTGAGCGAGACGGATCCATGGCCGGGCAGTGTTTCTGAACCCAGGAGGGAACCACAGGGCAAGAGCGAGACGGCGCAGGCGGGCACGGTGCTGAGTGTGTGTGTGTGAGTGGGGAGGGGCCAGGGTGCTGGGGACTGGCCCGCCTCCTGCCACTGGACTCTGGTCCATAGCTCTGCTGGCGCGCAGGGGCTGAGCTAGAGCTTGGTGGCTTCGGCAAAGCCCACCCTGTTGTTGTCCCGGTCGAAGACGGTGTAGTAGGAGCCGATGAAGACGTCACCCAGGATCCAGAGTGGCCCGCTGGGTGGGGGGATGTCCATGCCCATGAAGCCGCTCAGGCAGATTGTCTTCCCACCCTGTGACACCTGCAAGGCCACAGGGTCAGCATGGTGGTCACTGGGCCCCTCCCGGTGCCAGGCCATGGCTGTGGGCCACCCGCTCACCTTGAGTGTGTAGCTCTCCGGGGACAGAGTGTAGTCTTTGCCTCCCAGCCGCAGCGAGACCTTCGGCAGACTGGCCACCTTCTCACAGGGGATGATATACTGGGGGGGGGGGGGGGGTCAGGCGCAGGCCCAGGCCCTGCCCCCCGCCTGCCTACGGGCCGTCCCCCGGCAGCTCACCTCTCCCTGGATCAGCGGCACAGCCCCGATGGCCTTCTGCAGCTCCTTCACCTCATCCACAGGGCCCACCAGGAGGGAGGTGCCCGTGTCCACAATGGCCTCACAGCCCTTTTTGCACAAGGTCAGCCCATTGGCCACCTCTATCCTGTGGGGTAGGAAGGTGTGAGTCCCCTACCTGGGCCAGTCCACTGGGGCCCCCGCCCTGACTCCATCCTGCGGGACAGGCCTGTTCTTCTTTCTCAGGGTGACCTGACTCAAGTGGCCATGAGTGGTTGGGAGTGATGGGGGAAAAGGAGATGGAGAGGGCAAGAGTGGGCATGGAGGGCCAGTTCCCAGCTGAACTCCCCAGGCCTGAGCCGGCAGGGGCTGCAAGCTGGGCAGTCCAAGGGAGGGGCTAGGCCATGCGCCCCTGGGGCCTGTGTGCCCCACCCTCTGCAGTGCCCACAGCAATGCCATGCACTGTCCGTGTGCCCCTGGAGCCCGTGTGCCCCACCCGCCGCAGTGCCCACAGCAATGCCATGCACTGTCCGTGCGCCCCACCTACCACAGTGCCCACAGCAATGCCATGCACTCACTGTCCATGTGCCCCTGGGGCCCGTGCGCCCCACCCGCCGCAGTGCCCACAGGAATGCCATGCACGGTCTGTGTGCCCCACCCGCCGCAGTGCCCACAGCAATGCCATGCATTCACTGTCCATGTGCCCCTGAGGCCCGTGTGCCCCACCCGCCACAGTGCCCACAGCAATGCCATGTACTCACTGATCCATGTGCACCTGCCAGTAGGCCTTCCGGGTGACGTTGAGGTAGGACAGGGACCCCTTGTAGTACTTGGAGTCGATGCCTCCCAACATGAGCTCCCCTCCAGGCTGCCCACTGGGGTCTCTGGGAGGAAAGGAAAGGAGGCAGTCAGTGCCCCCAGCCCAGGCACTGGAAGGCCCTGTGTCATTCACCGAAGGACCAGGAGGACGGGGGGACGGGGACGGGGAGGGTGGGCAGCCTTAGGGGGCTTCTTGGCCCCCAGAGACGGAAAGGCCTGGGAGAGAGGGGCAGTGAGCTCCCTCCCTCCTGCCCTAAGAGCTTGCTGGGGTCCAAGACTCAGCCACGGGTGACCAGGATCAAGGCTGCAGGGCAAACGGGGAGCCCAAGAAGGAAGGACTGAGGTGGGCTTCCACGGAGGCCAGGGCACAACCCCAAGGCTGAGTGGCTCCTTCCTGCCTGGGGCCTCTACAGGCTGTCTGTGTCCTCGGGAACAGGCCTCCAAAACCTGGCTCCTCTAGCCTTTGTCCCCTACCCCTAGCCTGTCATGGGGACGCCCACCCACAGCCAGCCAGGACGCAACTCAGGCAGGACACAGACCACGGCACTCTGTGGTCACCATCCTGGAGACACCTTCCTGAACACGCCAACCTGCGTTCCAATGTGCACCAAATCCCTTTAAGAGCACACGTCCTGAGACAAGCTGGCCTTGGGGGTTCCTGCTGCCCTGCCAGGGTGTCCCCACACTCAGAAGCCCTGAGCTTCACCCTGCCCTCCCACCTGGGCTCTACCTGCTCCAGCCTGGTCTCCTGTCATCGCCTCTGAAATCCTGGCTGTCCACACCTGTCCACTGCCTCATCCTCTCTGTCCCATGTCCCCCACCCCTACTCTATCCCAGCCCACCAGCCCTGAGACCCTGCCTGGGCACTCACACCTGTGGGTCGGGGGTGCTCCTCCTACCTGAGGAGACCCTCCTCACCTCGCCCAATCCCCTGCACCCAGGGATGCTGGGGCAATGATCCTAGCTGATGGTCTGCATTCCGGTCTCTGGCTAGCACCTGTGCCCAGAGCCCAGAGCCAGTGGCACAGAACAGGGCCCATGCTAAGCTGAGGGACAGGGAGCAGGACTGACTCACAGGGGTTGGCTCTGGGCTGGAAGTCTGCCGGAAATGCCCAGGAGGGGTCAGGAGTTAGGCTCCGAGACCCCCTGGCCAAGCAGCCCGGGGCGGGGAGTGAGCAGCCACGGCTCAGGGGGGGACGCTGCCATTGACACCTGCCTGCCACAGACCCTGAGCCCCGGCAGGGTGGTGCCAGCCACTGCCCAGAACTTGGGCAGCAGCCTCAGGAGAGGACTAGGCCCAAGGCTCCCCACAAGGTCCCCTGGGGGAAGGACCCTCTCCCTGGCAGGAAGGTCCCAGCGTTCCTTCTAGACAGAGGTCCCCAAAGCTGCACTCCACATGCAGCCCGGGATTCTGGGCCTCCCCGGTGGCCTGTCAAGATCATCTAAGGTCACAGCCCTGAGGAGGCCCCAGCCTGGCCTGCCCCTCCCCCAGAGCTCCTGTTACAGAGCAGGGCTCACAGCCATGTCCCTTAGGGCCATCCACAGCCCAGACTGGACCACACTGCCCTTCACTGGAGCCAAGGAGTGTCAGGCAACTGAACCAGGGACGGCCACACCCCTGTGCGGTCCCTGGCCCCACCAGGCCAGACCCTAGGACCTGCATGCCTGAGGGGGAGGCCAGATGCTGGTCTGTGGGAGAGAGGTCCATTCCTGCCTGCTGGGAAGCTGAGGTCAGAGGTCAGGGCTATGGGCACAGCCTGGGGGGCAGACTGGGCTTCGAGGCTAGCTGCGCCTGTACCCCATCAAAGCACAGCCAAGAGTGGTGGTGGGGGGGGAGCTGGGACCTGTTCAGGTAGAAGGAGAAGACGTTCTTGTCCACCAGCTTCTGCTCCATGAGGTTGTCAAAGACAGGCAGCACGTTGTTGACGGAGATGCGGGGGTAGGCCATGCCCAGGATGCCGTCGAACCTGGCTGCGATGAAGGTGATGCCAGGCTGCTTGGTGGCCTCCCCAAAGATCTGTCTCTCGATCTTGAGGCCTCCTGGAGCTGAAGGACCTGAATTGCAGGGCACCTGTGGGCCAGGGCAGGGGTCAGCAGGCTATAGTACACTGGCTGCAGCCTGGCATTGCCCCTGGGCCTGGGAAGCTCAAGACAGCCCTCATCACCACCACCAGACAAGCAGGAACAGGGAGGCGGAAGGGCTGGGGACACCAGACCCAGCTGGGGACAAGGATGTGGTGTGGGGGTGGGGTCAGACCCTCTCGGGGAGCTGCCAGGGCCCTTTTTCACAGGAGCTGGGAGGCAGGCTCAGCTCCAACCTCTGCCCTCACCCCTCCGTGCCAGGGCTCTGGGTCAGGCTTGGAGACAAGACGTTAGGGCCAGGCGTGAAGCCGAGAGGCTGGATGTCCACAATGCCACCCCTGGCCACACCCCCTCCCGGTCTGCAGAGATAGAGGCCCTGCAGGATGTGGGAGGCAGCTGCTCAGCGGGAGGCTGTGTGGGCAGCAAGTTGGGCAACGTCCTGTTCAGCTGAGGGGCTGAGGGGCCCAGAGCCCTGCTGGTCCCCACCTTGGCAGCACTGTCTCTGGCTGCCTGGCCTCTCCCATGGGCAGGGGCCAGCCTGCATGACCCTCACCTGCAGGTGGGCATGGGGCCTAGCCCTGGTCTTCCTGACCCCTGCTCCACAGAGACCTCTCCCCCACATGGTCTGCACAGGGGCTTCTGCCACACCTCACCGTCGGCACCCCCAACCAACCCCTCAGCCAGCTGCAGGGGAGAGACCCCCTCAATCCCCAGGGATGTCCCTGGACACCCTTTAGACACTTCAAACCCAATACATCCAAAACAGACCCAATCCTCCCCAGCCACCTGCACCCTGCACCACCAGCCCAGCAGCCTGGAGCCTGCCTGCCACTCGCTCTTCAGGGACAGCCCTCCTGCACCGGAGCCACCGTGACTGCTCGGGAATGTGTGGCAATCTGCGCCAGCCCTGCTCCTGCCCCATCTTCCTCCTCCTGCTCCCTGTCCCGACTTCCAGGGAACACAGGTCCCTGCAACCCCGCAGGGTCCCCCGCTGCCCATCCGGTCTGCACACAGCCAGTCCCGCCCACAGCTTCCCTTGCTCTGCAACCTTCCAAGAGGGCCGCGTGGGCTGGGTTACCACGCCCTCTCCCTCAGCTGCAGGTGCCCCAAGAGTGACTCTGTCACCAAGGTGAGTGCCCCAGTCCTAAGAGAAGACCCAGGGACTCACCGACACAGTATCCTGGCTCAGGTACCCAGAGAGGCTGCCAGAGCCGTAGTGGATGTCAAAGGACGTGCCGTTCTTCACGTAGGTGCTGGACTTGCCGCTGTTGTACTTGTGGTGGACCCCTGCTCAGGGGCAGGGGACAGGGAGGAGGCCATCAGCCTACTGCCCACTGCTGCAGCCTCAGACTCCCAATCTGTTGCGAGGACCACTGCCCAGGGTTAGACTGGGCTGTGACCTGTGGCCCACCGGGTCAGGGACCCCTGGATGGGGGACTATGACACCCCAAGCCCACACTTTCTCCATCCTTGGCCAGTACAGCCCCCAGCCAGAGGAGAAGCAAGGCCGTGGCCAGCTGGGCCAGCTTGAACAGGTTCACCCGGAAAGCGGTCACCTTGGGGCAGGGTGGAGGAGCCGGCCTGTCTGATGTGGCTAAGAGGAGGAGTGTGCATTGCCCAAGAGGTTTTGTGAGGGCCACCTGCAGGTCCCAGGCCTGCTCCTCCTCCCAGCCGTAGCCCAGAGAAGCCCGATGGGAAAGGCAGGGCTGGGTACCAACCCCAGCTCCCCAGAGAAGAGGTGAGTTCCCGAGAGTGGAAAGACCCTGGCTGCCTGGAGGGCCCACGCCATGGCCTCTGCCTCCCTGGCACTCCTGCGACCAGCAGCCGCGTGTGGCCGAGCGCACGGCACAGGCCAGGGTCAGGCAGCGCAGAGCCAGGCATCGCAAGGGGTGCGGGGGCACTCACAGCAGGCTATATCCAGCAGCTTGCAGTGGATGGAGGGGACCCACAGGTTGGAGGAGCCGGTGTCAAAGACGACTGTGAAGCACTGTGGGGGGGTCCCGATGCCAATCTCCCCGTAGTACTGGGCCTGATGGGGTAGCAGTGTCCATCAGGGCAAGGGGAGGTACCCCATGTCCCCACTGAACCTGAGTCCCCTGGTTGTCCTGAGAGCCAGGCCTTGAAGGCCCAGGCCAGAGGAAAGAGCGCCCTGGGATCCAGACCCCAGTTCCAGCATCCACCGCCACCTGTCGAGCCTGGATGAGCCCCCAGAGGACCGGCTCCAGCAGAGGCTCAGGCCCCCAGCACTCAGGCACGGGCATTTCCAGACCCCTCCCTGGCACAGCACCCCCAACCCAATACATGGAGGCCAGGGTGGGGTCAGAGCATTTGAAGATGAGGCCAGCAGTCGGGCTGGTCTGGGGCAGGCTTGGCTGGACATAAGCCCCAGCCCGGGAAAGGCCATCTGGGTAGGCTCCTCTGCCATTCAGGGTCTAGGGCCTGAGAAGGGAGGTGAGAAGCGTTTAGGCCCTGACTCTGGGCTCCGACTCTTCCCTAAGTGCCCTGGGCTGCTTCCCCATCTGTTCACAGGGACGGCAGGGCCACTGCAATACCAACTCTGGGACCAGGAAGGCACAAAGGGTCATGTGCCTCTGAGAGAAAACCTTGGCCCGCTCAGATCTGGGGGCGGTGAGGGTCTTGAAGCTTGGCATGATCTGCCCCACCTGCCAGGCACCCTCTTCCTGGGGAGGGAGCCTGGTTCCAATCTCACCCCTTTCTTTCCAGCCACATGGCTCCAGGGAGCAGCAGTGACCACCGACTGCCCCAAGAGAAGTGGCCATGGGGGTGGGTGGAGTGACTCAGCAAATCTTCCTGTGTGTGCCTGCCCTAGGGGATCAGGAACTGGCCAGCAAGGCCCAGCAAGGCAGCCCCCACCTCTCGGAGCCAGTCACATGCCTGTGTTCTGAGCTTCCTGTCATAGCCTAGGCTCTGGCCAGGCAGGACAGAGGGCACAGCTACCTCCTGTGTAGGGGGCCTCAGAGCCCAGGTTTGAACGGCAGTGAGGGGCTTCCTGGGACTCAGAGATAAGGACCCAAGAATGGTCCTGGCAGCCCCAGAGCCACCAGGCTCTGGCCCAGAACCTGTTACAGAGAGGAAACCAAGCAGGCCAGGCCAAGCTTGCCCAGGGCTCAGAGCCTATCTCTCCCTCAAAAACAGAGGCATGAGAGGGGCTGCTGACCCTGGAGAAGATGGTGAGGTGATGGCACTGTGCCATGGGGTCACCCCAGGCCTCCCAGCAGGACTGACAGGCCACAGAGATTCTAGCTAGTTACACCCAGGCAGGTGTGTGGGTCCAATGATGGGGGCTCAGGGCCCTGGACTTGATCAGGTTCGTCTGTGCCCCTGGACAGTGGTAAGGCTGAGACCACAGTACAACTCTGAGCTGGCAGCCAGTGCTCGGGACAGGCAATGGGACACATTCCCAAGGTGCAGCACCAGCGGCAGCAGGGACAACTGAGCAGGAAAGGGTGTGCTGAGCCCAGGAGCACCACCCCCCGGAACAGGTGCAGACTCGGGCACTGTTCCCAGTGAGCACAGCCCACCACACTCACATCCATGTAGTTCTTGAGGATCTCGGGAACTGGCCCCTTGGTCCCATCTGACGACTGCAGGGAGTACTTGGTGATGGGGCCCTGAGCGACCAGGCCTTCCACGGGGCCCCCCGCCTCCGTCATGGTCCGGCGGATGGACGTGAACTTATACAGGGGAATTCTGTCAAGATGGAGTGGAGCACGTCAGGGTGGGACTCGGGCTGCAGCTCTCAGGCAGCCCCCTCCAGAGCCCACCTGCTGGCCGCTAGGTACCCTAGAGTGATGGCCCTCAATGCCCCCAGATGTCTCGAACTCAGCATGGCCTAAACCAAACTCCTGCTGGAAACCCACAGGTCCAGCTGCTCTCACATGAGTGAATGGTGACCCATCAGCACCCCAGGGCCAGGCCAAAGTCCTGGGAGGCCCAATCCCCTTTGTATCCCACCTCCAAGCCTCCAAGCTGGAGGCCAGTGTGCCTATCATTCCCCCTCCCAAGCCACATGCCTGCCCAGCAGCCCTCAGCCACTCCAAAGGACTCGGGAGGCCATGTCTCCAGTCCTCCCTGCACACCTGCTCTGATCTCTTCTAGGATGGCACCTGTCACCCTGCCTGAAGCCCTCCAGGCATCCCACTATTCCCCTTGGCCACAGCTGCTCCCTGCCAGGACCCCACACCAACATGGTTCCCTTCCAGTTGGACTGTCTGTCTGATATCCCTGGGTGGCCCCTCCTGACATCAGAGGGCCTCATCACCCATCCCCAAGGCCTCCCTGACTACCCCTGTTCCCCTGCCCACATGTACTGCCACCCCAGGGGCTTGAGGACTGCCCCTGGGCACCAGAGGCTTTCCTGTGTCCTCCACAAGAGCCCCACCTGAAGCCCCTCTCCAGGAGTCTGCCAGGATGGCCTTGGGGGTCTGGCCTGTCTGGGAGGTGCTGCAGACCAAGGTCAGGTGTTCTGGGGTTCTGTTATATGTGGGGCTTTGCCATCAAATGGCAGAGGTGAGGGGTCCCTGCCTGTCTCCTGGGGGATGCTGGCCTCCCTGCTGCTAGGAGACCTAGCCTAAGCTTTTAATTGCTTTGATGAAACTCTTCTCTGCCCCAGGTATTTGAGGACAAGGTCACAGCTGACTTCCTGGCAAGGCAAGGGCGTGCTCTAGGAACACAGGGCTCTTATCAAAGAGGGGTGGGCTGGAAATCCTCAGATTCTGGCCTAGGAGGATGGACACGCCCTCCAGGGGCCTGTGGGTCCTGGCCTCAGGTGTGAGGGACTTTAGCTCAGCTGCCCTACCCCCCAGAAAGCCTGGGCTCCCATCTCCATGGCTATCTTGGCCCTCTCCAGAGAGGGGAGGCCTGAGGGTGTGGCACCAAGGCCAACACAGGCTCAGGCCTGTGGCTGTTTCCCATAAAGGCTCCCATTGAGGCTGCCCGCCCCCAGGCTGCAGGCCACTGCCTGTCATGAGTCCCATGCAGCCCTTGTCCCCAGCCAGCTCCCAGGCACCAGAGACCTATGACCTCATCCGCCTGCCCACAGGGAGCAGACCCACAGCAGTGAGGCTGTGCATGAAGGCCGTGTAGCACAGGGGGCCAGGTGTGTTTGAGGAGCTCCTGCCCCACGGGAGCACAGCCCCCAGCCTCAGGATGGGTAAGCTGGACCACTCCCCCAAACCTCCTCCTGTCTCTGGGACTTATGGGTCTCTCCACCCAGAGCCTGTGGGAGCACCCCCCGAGTAAAGGCAAGGCCTCACTCCAGTTCACAGCTGGCAAAGGGGTCCCCGGAGGCCGAGTGCCTTGCCCGGGTGCAAGTCCTACAGGGCCTAGCCCCTGGCCTCCCGCCTCCCACAGGCCGCCCCAGAACAGACCCCCAACCACGTCTGTCCAGAACCAGCACTGCTCCTCCACAGCCCCCGACCCTCGGTGGGCCAGCGTCACACAAGCCTCCTGTCCCCTCAAGGCCGACCCCAGGGCGGTGCGGGCCAGGGGGCCCTGGAGAACCCTGCGCCCCAGAGCTCCACCGTCCCCAGGGGCCGGGCCCTGCAGCTGGCTGTGGAGATGGCACAGGTGCACTCCAGCAGCCGCGCGCGGGGTCGCCAGGGGCGCAGGACCTGGGCACCGGCGGAAGCTCACCTGATGAGGGCCGAGGCGGACGCGGCCAGCAGGCCGAGCGCGAGCAGCAAGAGGCTGGGGGGCTGCATGGCGACAGGGGCCGGGTCGGAGCCGAGCGGAGTCCCAAAGGTCGCGCGCTTATAGCCGGGATGACGGCGCAGTCGGGGGAGTCAGCTGACCGGCTTGTTTGCCGGGGCCGGTCACGTGGGCGCGGCCGCCGGGCGCGGGGACGGGGCCTGGGCGGGACGACCGACCCACGCACGCTCTCGGGAGCGCGCCCGCCCGGGGCCGGTCCCGCCCCTTCGCGAGGATCCCAGGCTGCTGAGCGGGTTGCGCAGCCTCTGGCCGGAGGGGGCGGGGGAAGGGGTCCAGGCTGTCCACCTGCCCCAGCGGAGCCGGTCCCCAGTCGTGCGGCTTGCAGCGTGGGCCCTGACCCCCCCGGCAGACCGCACCCAGGACTCCCAGGGCAGTCCCACCTGGGTGTCTCCTCCAGGGCGCCCACCTCCCCCAGGCCTCTTCCTCTCACAGCTCTCTCCATCCTCGGGCTCTCCCAGAGCCTCTTTGGAAGTCCCTCCCCCATGTTTTGGCCACCTGGAGGGACCTCGATCTCCCTCTCCAAGTGTAACTGGTCCATTTGGGGCTTTGAATACAGCCCTTGCTGCTCTCCCACTGTGACTTATTCTTAAAGGACTTGTTTCTCTCCTCCTCTCTCCCTGCTGCTCCCTAGTCTCAGGGGAAACAGGATCACCTTCCTTCCCCATCCCAGGCAGAGTTATCTGTCCCTGAGCACACACCCACCATGGGAAAGAAGTCATCCAGACTTTGGGGTGATACCAAAGATCTCAGAAACGACTGTCTCCCAGATTAACCAGTGAGTTACAACTTCAATAGGGAACACGTGGCATGCAGCCCTTGAGTCACCTCTTAAAAGCCCCGTTTCCCCTGATGGGCAGAATCACAGCCTCTGGGAAGGAGTCCCCTGTGTCTCTCCTTTTCTCAAAACCACGTCCTGGTTATTGGATTGGCATCGGGGACAAGGACCGAGCTTTCAGTAACACAAGTCCTGCAGCCCACTCTCACCTTCCCAGAGCATCATTCTCTCAGCCCAGCCGGGGGCCCTGAGGAGGCTCCCTTGTGCCTGGGACCTGTCTGTCTGTGATATGGCACCTCTGGAGGCCAGGCTCTGAAAGGGTCCTGTGCATCCCATCTGTGACAGGGACCAGGTGTCCCGGTGATTCTTCGGCATGACCCTCTCCTGGCCAGGCCTTAGGAGGGCTGCTGCTCCAGGAGCAAAGGCACAGGCAGGTCACTGCAGGAAGGGGTCTGTCAGGAAGGAAGCGTAATGAGCACGTGCTGGGATGTGAGGTCCACGGGGGACGGTCCTCTGGAAGGGGTGAGGTTTGAGCAGGGCTGAGAGCCTCCTCCCAGGTCGCCCTCCGTGTGCCTATGACCCCACTTTGCAGAGGGGAAGACAGCAGCTGGGCTGGGACTCCCCAGTCCTGCAGAACCTCTCCTGCCCAGTCTAACGGCCACAGGTGAGTGAGGGCAGCCTGGCCTTTCCTCTGGGCACAGTGCTCCACTTACCACGTATAGCTCCAGATGTGAGAACAGAGGCTGGGCTGAGGCAGACAAGCATCTTTGCCCTTGGAAACTGACCCCGGCTCCCTTGGGGTCCAAGGCTGTCTCCTGGTCATCCCAGGAGTGCTCTCAGCACCTTGAGCCATTACCTGCCTCCCCGTGGGCTCCTGTCTTGGAGAGGCCAGCTGGACCCTGGGTGGGTTGCATCAGGCATCAGGCAAGGGGCAGAATGTGGCCTGGGTCCTCACACTGGGCCCCAGAGCCCTACAGTGGGCAGACACTGTCCCCAGGTGCTCAGACAGAGGCATGTGCGAGACCATCTGTATCCAGCTGGTACAGAGGAGGCCTCCATCTGTCCTGGTCCCTGGCTAGCCTGGCATAGGGCAGGTGTCCCGTGCTCTGTGGGATGAACACCTGCATGTGCCCATAGGACCCTGGGAGGCCCTGGAGTAGGGGTGGAGGGTCATGATTTCTGGTCCCCTCCTCCCACTTGCCTGGGCAGCTCTCCCTGTCTGAGCCTTGACTCCCCCACCTGCAGAGACAGGAATGGGCCTGTAATGTGCAGAGCCCTGGGGGAGATGGATCCTCTGGGGTTGTCCTGGTTCCCTGCCTGCTGGCTCAGCTCAGACCTCAGGACTCCTGCACCTGCTACTCTGACTGGGAGCACCTGTTCCCATCAGGCTGGTCCCTCAGTGCCCTGAACCAGTGGGGGGGGGATTGTGTCCAGGCCTTGCAGTCCTGTGTCCAGTCCACTGCCTTTGGTGCAAGGATGCCTCTTCCTGGCCTTGCCTGGTGTTAGACAGGAGACAGGGCACAAGGCCTCTTTCCCTGGCTTGGAGAGGCCCTGCACTTCCTACAGGGCAGAGGGCTTTCTCCGGGAACCAGGGGCCCCTGGCCATAGCAGGTGCATGTGGCAGGGATCCAGGCTCTGTCTGGTGCACAGCCTACAAGCAACAAGGAGGCAGGTGGTGGAGGCTGGTCTTCTTGCCTCCCAGCCTCTATAGTCAGTGCCTGCTGTGGGTTAGAAGCTCCTGTGTGAGACAGTGCAAGAATGTTCCAAGGTCAAAGATTGAATTGTGAGAGCCTTAACCCAATCAGCGCTTCGATCCCACGGTGGGAATAACTGAGTGGTCACTGAAGCCGGGTCGGGTGGCTGGAGGAGGTGGGCTCTGGGGGCGTGACTTTGGGATATGTATTTTTGTTTCTCCTCCTGATCATCATGTGAACCACTTCCCTCTGCCGCACTCTTGGGCCTCACCTCCAGCCCCAGGAGAGAGCCGGCTGCCTCCGGCTGTCTTCAGACTGAGACCTCTGTAGCCATGAGGCCCCAGATGAAATGTCCTCCTCTGCGATGGTTCTTGGGAGGTCTTTTGGTCACAGAAGCACAAAGCTGACCAGGCAGCACCCAGGGGGCTGGCCCAGGGAAGGCCCTCACTCTGTGGCTGCTCTTTGGGCAGCTGCCCCAGGTCCTGCCCTCCTGGCCAAGTGCTGGGGTGTTAGCCTGAGAGGGAGGGGAGCCAAGAGCAGCCTGTCAAGCACCTGCCGCTGCTTAGAGGCTGGCCAAGGCCAGGCCCAGGTAGGGGGGCCTTGGTGAGGGAGCTCAGAGGCTCATGCCCTTTGACCTCTACTCCACCCTGGAGTCCACCCTGCCTGGTGGGCCAGGTCTTCCGGTCCCCATCCCTGTGTGTCCATCTCAGGTTTGTTATGCACCTGATCTTCCCCTTTTCTCCTGGGGTGCTGGGTCAAAGCCCAGGCCCTGTGCGTGCCAGAGGAGTAGTGCTGCTCGGGGGCCCGCCTACCCTGCCCACGGCTCTGTTCTAGGTGTGGGGGATTGCAGGTGCCGGGCAGAATGTGCTGCCCTGGGGGTTTCTGTTCTAGAGGGGGCCTACATGAAATGAAGCAAGCAGCTCACAGGGGCCTTGAAGGCTGGTGCAGGGACAGGCTCAGGAAGTGACAGAGGGAGGGTGTTGAAACCTCAGAGGCCTCAACCGAGGGGCCTGAAGGAGGCGATGGGTCGTGAAGCTGGGCCAGAGCAAGATGTGGGACAACAGGAGCAGAGGCTGCAGTGGGTCACACCCGGCCTGCAGGGAGGGGAGAGGGGCCAGGGGTCCGGGGAGAGTCCAGGAGATGGGAGATGAGCCGCTGCTGGGGGCTCTGAGCAGAGGGCGTTGCTGGCTCTCCCATCAGCATGGGGAGGGAGCCCCCGTGAAGGAGGAGGCCAGCTGGGGGGCGCCTGGGCAGGTGGAGGCAGCAGGATAAGTCATCGGATTCTCCGTGCACTGCTGAGGTGGGCCCAGAGGCATCTGGGGGGGGGGGTGGCCACTGATAATCCTCCCGAGCAGCAGCGAGCGAGGCTGGCAGTTGGCCTTGAGGGAGTGGAGCAGGAGGGGAGGAAGTCCAGGAGCCTGCTTTGCATGTGCTGGGGTGAGCTGGCACCTGTAGGGTGTGGAGAGGGACAGGTGCTGTTGGGTGGCACTTGCCACTGGATCAGGGAGTCCAGGGGGCAGGTCTGAGCGCAGAAGCTTCCCCGTGACCAGCATCGAGGCAGCGTCACGAGACCAGGCAAAACCAAGGCCTGTGTGTGCACAGGGCGCAGAAGCCCCCGAGTCCCGGGGCCCTGCTTGGTGAAGAGGGAGCCATCAAAGGGGACTGGGGATGGACTTCTGGAGACAGAGGCCTAGAGGGGTGCCTGGAGGCTGAAGAGAGGGGGTGGCCCTGGGCAGATGGTGGGGAGGCTGGAGTGAGTGGGAAGGAAGGGCCTCACACCCCCACCCTCTAGGTGAGCCTCCTCACACTGTCCAGGGCAGCCAGCCGCCTTGCAGATGTGAGTGGACGGAACGCCCGGTGGGGAGAAAGGCCAAGGCAGCTCTTCAAGCCTCGGAATCAGCAAAGGTGCTGCTTACGTAGGACACCCACCAGTACCAGGCCAAAGTCACCCCGCAGAGTGGACGCCCCAGGATGGGGGAACGTTTGCAAAGCACCGTCTGATGAAGGACTTGTGTCCAAGGCGGGCGGAGACTTCTGAGGGCTCCACGAGAAAGCGACCAATTCAAAACCCCATCACCTCACCAGAGGAGAGAGCGGTGGCAAGGCACCCGGAGGTGCTCACCTCCCCACTCACAGCGCCAAAGCCACAGCGGGACGCCTGCACGCCCCGGAAGGCCCATCCCCCACGCCCGGGACCCCTGCTGTGAGAATGTGGAGCCACAGTGGCCCCTCTGCACCACACTTCCCGGGCGGTCTCCGGCTGCCTGGGTGGGCAGGAAAGGCCTTAGAGTGGTGGACCCTGAATGTGGAGGTTGGAGTGAGACTCCCGATGGCCAGGTCCAGCTGGCCGTGTGCCCTCCAGAGGGTCCCCTCCTCACCAGCACCGAGTGCAGCTGGCAGCGCCCAGCGCGGACACACCATGGGGCCACTCACAGCTCCCGCCCCTGCTCCCTTTGGGGGGGGATACCATGTGGCCTGGCCACTCTTTGTCCACTCCTCTCCCTGCTGGGGTCCGTTCCCAGGCCCTGGCTCCTGAGAAGCTCACTTACACCCTCTGCAGGGGCTGGAGGAGGAGCCAAAGGAGGGCTGGGGGCATCCGGACCC